CTATCACAGCGCACCAGGAAGGACACACCCTGCTCAGGATGCCAGCCTATCACAGCGCACCAGGAAGGACACACCCTGCTCAGGATGCCAGCCTATCACAGCGCACCAGGAAGGACATACGCTGCGCAGGATGCCAGCCTATCACAGGGCACCAAGAAGGACACACGCTGCTCAGGATGCCAGCCTATCACAGGGCACCAGGAAGGACACACGCTGCTCAGGATGCCAGTCTATCACAGGGCACCAGGCAGGGCACACGCTGCTCAGGATGCCAGTCTATCACTGGCCACCAGTCAGGACACATGCTGCTCAGGATGCCAGCCTATCACAGGGCACCAGGTAGGGCACACGCTGCTCAGGATGCCAGTCTATCACTGGGCACCAGTCAGGACACACGCTGCTCAGGATGCCAGCCTATCACAGCGCACCAGGTAGGGCACATGCTGCTCAGGATGCCAGTCAATCACTGGGCACCAGGCAGGGCACATCCTGCTCAGGATGCCAGGGTATCACAGGGCACCAGGCAGGGTACACACTGCTCAGGATGCCAGTCAATCACTGGGCACCAGGCAGGGCACATCCTGCTCAGGATGCCAGGGTAACACAGGGCACCAGGCAGGGTACACACTGCTCAGGATGCCAGTCAATCACAGCGCACCAGGCAGGACACACGCTGCTTAGGATGCCAGCCTATCACAGGGCAGCAGGTAGGGCACACCCTGCTCAGGATGCCAGCCTATCACAGGGCACCAGGCAGGGTACACGCTGCTCAGGATGCCAATCTATCAATGGGCACCAGGCAGGGTACACGCTGCTCAGGATGCCAGCCTATCACAGCGCACCAGGCAGGCTACATGCTGCTCAGGATGCCAGTCTATCACAGGGCACCAGGCAGGGTACACACTGCTCAGGATGCCAGTCTATCACAGGGCACCAGGCAGGGCACATCCTGCTCAGGATGCCAGGGTAACACAGGGCACCAGGCAGGGTACACACTGCTCAGGATGCCAGCCTATCACAGCGCACCAGGCAGGGTACACGCTGCTCAGGATGCCAGTCTATCACAGGGCACCAGGCAGGGCACACACTGCTCAGGATGCCAGTCAATCACTGGGCACCAGGTAGGGTACAACCCTATCACAGTGCACAAGGCACAGGTTTCCAGTCCATCACAAGGCACGGGCACACACACACACACAATCATGCTCTGTGTCAGATTCAGACACCAATTAGCCAAACCGCATGTCTCTGAACTTCAGGAGGGAAGCAGAGAAGCCAGAGGAGACCCAGACAGCAGGGAAACTCCACATTCAGAGTGGGGCTTTGGCAGTATGAGGCCACTGTCCCGACCAACAATAATAATAATTTAACTTTGCTCGTAACACTGCTGTTTACCCATGCACATGTACATTCACTTGGCCACGTTTCCTCTGACTTCATGTAGTTCATTTTCATCTGAATAAAATCACATTTTCCAAACGAGTGAATTTAATAGGCGAATTTTATGACAAGTTCATTTGCTTAAAAAATAATGGAACACTTTTATTTAACGTTTTGTCATGTAAAATCCCATCTGAAGGCCATCGGGGGTTTAAAATGCCCCGCTGAGAATGATTTAGCTAACCCCGCTCTACGTTATCTACATATTGTTAAAACGTAACATCCACGGGACTGCTTCGGTAAGAGGTAAGGTTTCGTTTCGGGACTATCGAGGGACTCTTCATTCAGCTCCTCATAAGTTCTCAAAAAAAGCTACCCGAACCCAACCCAGGTTCTCCGGACCGGGTCACAGAAGCCGCTGCATCTGCTGCCTGGATGGACGCGGCTGGGGTAGCATCGGGCGGGGAGGATCACTCACCATCCTCCTTCTCGTCAAACACCGGTCTCTTCGAAGAAGAATTCGCCCCTATCCGTTTCTTCCACTTGCTCCAGTGAAACATTTCTGCCGGAGATCAGGGATCATTCCCGTTTCGGGGAGAAACAGGCGGGGGTTTCAGAAGCGGCGCTCCTGCCCATGCATGTCGCTCGCTTCGTCTCCCTGGATGAGGGACCTGCCTTTGTGCTCCTTCTCCCTGGACTGGGGAGGACGTGCCTTTGTGCTGTGTGGAGATACTCCTGCACACCCTCACGGCGCGGTGTGCATCATCTGAGCTGCTCCCTCGCTGTCTGTCATCCGTGACCGAGATCAGCGCTGGTCAGATGACGCCGGGATGCGAGCTTGGGGACCTGCGCCGCGTTATGGGGACAGACGCAGTGTGTGACCGCGACAATGGGGCCGTTAAATGACTGTTTGCGGGGGTTAGGGTTTCAGACAATAAGTGAAAATAGCCTTGTGCTGCTTTATGATGGCGAAGTCGTATTAAACGCAGCGTCGCCATCGGCATTATACCTTTAATTTCGGAAGTGGCAAACGCCGTGAATTTGCTGTCCTACTAGCTGGCCAACTTATAACTGCGGAAACTACCAGCTTCACTAGGCAAATTGTTTTGGGAATATATTTATATACAAAGCACAATTAATTTCAGGGATTTAACTGCCAGGACACTGAATTTACATAATAGTTAATAGTACACGCATATATAAAAATAAAATAATGTCCCTACAATGTGATAAAAAAAAACCTGCTATTTTGACATTGTGGGGTCCATTTTTGTGTGTGAATGCAATAATAATAATAAAAAAAACTAAAAATGCCAGAAGTCTTGTATGCGTGCTTGCGTGTGCATGCATGTTTGCGTATGCATTATTAGGGTCCCTCCCAGTGACTGTCAGATACATACTGGGAGCTCAGGGTCTCTGTGACCCTCTCCCAGTTGGGCGTCCACCTTGTGACGATTATGTGAAAAACGGTGGGAAGTCACTGATTTGATGTAAACGCATATAAGATTCTAACAGGTCTAGATGCTGTTCAACCAAACAGTTACATCAGTATTAGTTCAAACACAAGAACTCATGGCCATAGGTGGAAATTAGCAGGAGAACATTTTAAACTGGATTTAAGGAAGCACTTCTTTACACAGCGTGTAGTTCGAGTATGGAATAGTCTTCCTGCTAGTGTAGCGGAAGCTAAAACCCTGGGTTCCTTTAAATCAGAGCTAGATAAGATTTTAACTACTCTGAGCTATTAGTTAAGTTCTCCTCAAACGAGCTTGATGGGCCCAATGGCCTCCTCTCGTTTGTAAGTTTCTTATGTTCGCTGCCACCTGTCTGGGGTATTTTTTACACAGCAACATAAAGCACACCTCTGTCCACACCAGTTCTGTCTCACCGCTGTGTCAGTCCCTGCTTAGTTGGCCAGCTCTGCCAGTGTCTCTCAGGCTCTCAGTGTCTGTGGAGAAACTGAGGACACAGGGCCTGTGTAATCAGGTCTGCCTGCACCTGCCTCTGTCTACCAGGTCTGCCTGTGTCTCTCAGGTCTGCCTGTGTCTGCCAGGTCTGCCCTTTGTCTACCTGTGTCTCTCAGGTCTACCAGGTTCACCTGTGTTGGGCTGAATCTACTTGTATGTCTTTGGTTTGCCTGTGTCTGCCGGGTTTGCCTACATCTGCCTGCATTGGCCTGTGTCTATCTGCATCCGCCTGTGTCAGCCTGTGTCTGTGTGCATCTGGCCATCTCTGTAAAGTCTGCCTACACCCGCTGCATCGTCGTCCGCAGAGAGTTTGTTCTCACTATTGCTTTGCATCTTGGCAGTGAGTAGATATTATGCCAAGTAGTTACTTCTGATTTAGACAGAACTTATCATTTTTCCCAGTGTTTACCTGTGATGCAGATGTGAAATAGTGACTCTGTTTCGATTCTAGTGTTTTGGGTAATTACAGGAAATTGGAGAACTTAGGATTCAGCTCAAAGGCAGCATGAGAATCACAGCCTGGTGACTCTGGGGAGGTTTGTAAGGGAATAATCACCCACAGCAGTATTACTCTGTGAGTAATGTGTGTACATTCATGTACATTCTGTTCTCTGGCTGTGTGTAGATTTGCTTACATAGTCAAATATGTCCATCCTGAACATTGCTTTACACAGATACTCATTCGCCTCCCCCCCAAAATCATCAGATATATAATTTAAGAGTCAACACGAATGGACGCGTGTCCATCCTGCCTACTCAAGCACTTCCAGATTTTGTTTGCTATTGGCTCAGCGTGGACATGTGACCATCCTGTCCACTCAGGTCTTGTTTGCTATTGACTCAGGCCAGGCATGTGACAGGCAGTATATATTTCTGCAAAAAGTGAATGCATGTGATTATATGAATAATGAGTTTAGGCTGTGGTGTCAATCAAGGAAATGTCAGAAAAGCTGTGGTACGGACCCCATTAATGAGATGAAGCACATGAACTCTGTTCAGTTTGAAAGGTTTAACGTTTTAAACAAAGTCATGTCATAATTGTGATTCTTTGCTGTAAGTTTCTCATTACAACCTGGTGACCTCACATGGTTCTAAAAGTGGCCATGCACTTCCCTGGAGTGTGCAGGAAGTACCCATTGATCCACTGGTGCTGTATGTCTGTGAGAGGGCAATTTAACACCCACCCCCAGAAGGCAGCAGTGCTGCTGTTCATCTTCTGTCAATAACTGAAAGCCACCCTCTGTGCTCTCATTTCCCGGAGCTTCCAAACGGTGCCAATCAGCCAAGATGAAGCCCAGGTGCATGTTCAGGTGGCCCGCTGGCTGAGCCCGCGGCTCCAGACGGCTACCTTTTTGACTTCTTCATTAAAAACAAGTAAGCTGCCGTCTGCTGTCATTTTATACTAGAATTAGCATACAACCTGAACGAAACGCGACCAATCTTTCCTTTACCCAGTTCCAGTATCAATGTATGTCTTATTTCTGCCATCTTGTGGACTGTCGCTGTAATTACCAGGGTATCAAACGGCCTGTTTTCGCAAAGGGAGACGGACGTGTTTGACGGGGGTTAGACGGTGACCACCTTACAGACCCCGCATACGCAGACTGAAGGCTAAAGGCACCCGGGGGTCTTTTTTTCATTGGGGAAAATGTGCAGCTGGACACGAGAGACCATGTGGTCTTACACTGTTACAATGCAGAGCGTGGTTAACTGAGGATATCCACTACCTGCCATTCATCCACCTAGGATCTGCGTTCGAAACCTTATATTTTTTATTTTATCTTATTGACTATTTGGCACTGTCATCCCAGTGTTTGTGCATACGTGCAAGACCACGAGAGGGAGCTGTCGCAGAAAACACTGCCGTGACCCACATTTCCACATCAGCTGCTATCAGACTCCGGTCTACAAGGGCACCCAAGGGTGCATGGCACCTCACGTTTATAATGCTCTTCCTCAGTTTGGGATCGTGTCTCCTCCCTAATTTCAGATGCAGCCGATTTTGTTCTGAACCCGACATTGACTGCGATTACTGCATATGAACAAGCTCGACTAAGCCTTCTGTGAAACCCAACCTGAACCTGACCGGACTGCCTGTTAACGCGGCAGTGAGGAACAGACGGGTATTAAACCTAACAAATTATTCATTCCCTTGCACCTCTGAGATCCTCACCAAGGCTCCAAAGTCACTGTCACGTTTTGGTACCTTTCAATTTAATGCCTTACAAACTAAACAATCACACTTACCCTCAGTTCAAAGGTCAACAGAATATCATCCCACTGATATCTATAAAGCGTGTGAAGAAACCTGATATTTCCATTTTCGTGCATTATTTAGTTGGCCGAGGGGCTGGATCACGCTTCTGTTCTGGGCTGTACGGGTTCGGTCCCGCCGGGGTACGTGAGTAAATCGCGGTCATCGGTGCATTAACGGGCGCCCAAATGACTTCTCCGCCTTGTGCCTTTCATTTCCTCGCCCTCCGGCTAGGAAGCACGAGGACCCGCCTGAGCCTAAGCGCTTCTTAAATCGCGCAACCTATTTCATTTTACCTGGAGGCCCATATAAACAGTGTTTATTGTGGGATTACCCAAAACGAGGATTAATTGTTGAATGGATCCTAATAATCCCAAAAGCCTTTTCTTGTTTCGGTGAATTTCCGTCGTGTGAAACTATGGAGTTAATTTAGTGCCAAAAGTATCAATCAAAATTTTGAAAACCGCAAGCAAATCATTAAGTATCAGAATGAAAATTTGTATTCCAAATATCAAAAAAGTCAAATAAAATAATTGTATCCTTCTTCTTCTCTAATTTGTTTTGCTTTTGGAATGTTTTTCTTTGCTTTTGGAATTTTTTTTTTTGCTTTTGGAATATTTTTCTTTGCTTTTGGATTTTTTTTTTGCCTTTGGATTTTTTTTTTGCTTTTGGATTTTTTTTTTGCTTTTGACTTTTATTTTTGCTTTTGACTTTTGGCACTGTTTTAACGGGTGGGCGGGCCTTAGCAGCTTTACACGTCTATTGGTC